ATTATCATTGGCATCATTAGATGCCAAAAACTAAGATGACAGGTATATTATTAGATAAATTTTTGTTATATTGAAATGATGTGACAAATCTTTGAACAAACTAATGGATATATGCTAATGACAATGATGGAATATAAACATAATCTAAAGTTTAAAGACACAATATTTTTTTTTTGTTTTCAAATTTAAGAACAAACAAATACATGGCTTAAAATAGAAGAGATAAATTTATAATTTAACCAATATTTTTATTGAGTTCAACGGACGTGATGGGTGATTCGAACCTCAAATCTTTTAGTTAAAAATTTATATTTTAATTAGCTAAATCGGTTAAAGTATGTTTTGGTTGGCAATTTAACCAAAAACTTAAACTATATATTAGTTTTTCAAATTTCAAATTTTATTTGGTTATATTATTGTACTTTTGTGGGTTTTGTTTTAGTATATGAATTTTCATACAAATCCATTTTCACTTATAATTGCTTTTGGTATTATATATTTAGGGTTAGAGTTTTGTTTAGTATACATTTCCTGTGGAGACTTAAACTCATGATCTCTTAATCAGAAATTGATGCGAATTATAATTGAGTTAAAATTTATGTGGCATACTATTATTTCTCTTACATTAACATACCATGAAAATTTAATAACAAAATAGGGAAACTGATTGAATTGTGTTGGTCCGATTCAATTTTTTGGTATTCATATTGTTAACAAAATATCGATTTGAATGATGTTGTATTAGAAATAAAATTTTAGAAGTACAAATATGAAATTGAAAGAAACTTGCTTCGTTCTCTTAACTTTTTCTTTCAACTTTGAAGACAGTGTCTAATAAATCTAGGTATATAATAAGTCTTTGTACATTCAGTTTTGTGTCTGCTAAGACCATAAATTATGTAGAATATCTCATAAGTCATAGATTTAATTGATATAAAATTGAAAATTTAAGGACAACCATTAGATTGAAACTAAAAAATTGAATACTTTTTAAAGTTTCAAAAGCTAGCTTATTAGACATACAACAGTCTAATAAAGTTGATCAAACAAAGAATTAAACTATTGACATCGAGATCCCAATTTTATACTGGTGGGTGGTGGGCGTAATGGGCTTATGGTCGAATGGAGATACCCTCCTCCTCGGTTCGAGCCCTGCGAGACACGTAGTCGGGGCTTCCTCCCCTTTCGAGGACGAGTCCCGCAACGTTGGTTACAATATTGGTTGGTCGTCGATACCCCGTCCGGTTATCTTAAAAAAATTTAAAAAATTTATGGATGTCTTTGACGATGATATTTCTTTAATTAATAAATTATTTTTTTCAGTTCTTAGATGAGTTATAAACCTCTTTATTAGTATTTATAAATTATAATTATATTAATGACTAATCTATGATATTTTGTTTATGTTAAAAATCACTTTTTTTGGTTTTACTTTTGTTGAAGTAACGATCTCGCTTTGACTTTTAGTTTGTAGCGATTTAGCCTATGTATTTTTAAATTTGTTATAATTTAGTGTCTGAATTTTAGTATGTAACAATTTAGTCTTTGCAGTTTAAAATTTTTATGATTTATTCTATACGGTGGAAAATATTGTAAGAGTTAATCAAATTCTTTATATATGTAGATCCATAAAATGGCGAGGGACTAAATGTTATTTATAAACTAAAAAGCCTAAATTGTTAGGTAATAAAATTTAACACTTAATTTTGATGAGATTTTCCATGGTAGAGACTAAATTATTACAAATTTTAAACTACGAAGACTAAATTATTATATATTAAAGTTTAGAGACTAAAGTGTCCATAATTCAAGAGTAGAAGAATTAAATAATTACAAACTAAAGCTTATGGTCTAAAATGTTACTTTAACTATAAAGTATAGAACCAAAAATACTCTTTAYCTAAAATTTATTTTAATATTTCATTAATATTTATACTCGATATCCATCCCTCAAATTTAATAGATATGTATCACAAATATTTTAGTCCTATATACGTATGTTTTGAGTTCAATACCATGTAATGTGGGTCAGCGTCTGGTTTGAAGTCTAAATGTCGATTCAAGTCCAATCCAGATCCGATCCAGACTTAGTCCAAGGTCAACTTTTAACTAGTTCAACCCAGTCCAGTCCAACCCATCCATCAATTAGATTAAAGGGAATTTCAAGTAAGTGGTTAAACCTTGCAATCCACTCAAGAAAATGTAAATTTGTTTATAATTTTGCAAAAATGGCTAAGGATATATTTTGAAATTTGAAATTTCTTAGTTTTCCCCCACAATGCCCTCCCTATGTTTTTTTGGAATTTCCAAATATTTAACCACCCGACAAACTTTCTTTTCAATTCAAATTTTGTTCCTACCTTCAAGGGATTTTAGCTTAATTATTTTAATTCTTTTATTAGGAATTTCAGTTAATTTAAACGTATTACTAGTGTTCCACGATCCTCATCTCATCATTCTGTCATTCTACTGTATCTTCTTCTTTTAAGCTCCTCCTTCTTTCTTTGCAAGAATGATGAATGTAGTAATTACGTTAAAAGGAAAAAAAAATGGGTACAACAATTTCAACACCTTTAAGATATTATAAGAATTATCAAAATTATATGGTCAGTAAATGTGTATATATACCAGTTGATGAAAAACCAAAATTAGAATACAATACACGTATAAATCATAATGCAACTCAATCATCAAAATTAAAACGTCTATATATGCATGTACTAATAATTCAACAATTAACAAAATATGAAAGTTAATAGATGTATATATCAATTCAAGAAACAACCAAATACGAAAGTGAATACTAGTACATGTATATCCTAATAATTATAAAGTCTATATATGTATGTACCAATAATTCAACAATTAACAAAACATGAAAGTCAATAGATGTATATATCAATTCAAAGAAACAACCAAATACGAAAGTCAATACATATATGTACTACTCTACAACTATCATAAAAGCTAGTACATGTATATCCCAATAATGACCTCACTAACAATGTATTATTCCTCAACTATCTTGCGACCCTTTCATTTTCTCCGAAACATAAAAGTAGGATCAGCACACATATTCCTTGAGTTCTTACGTTCTTGGTAGATTCCTTACATGAACCCAAATTCCTTTTTAGGGTCAACTTTAGTATGTTTTATCTTACCTCCAACTAAGTCTCTCCCACCCCTCTTTTTGTTTGTCTCTTTCAATTTCTTATTCTTCTTTCCCGAGACATCATCACATTCTCCACTATTCATTGGAGTCTCTCCTAAGTCCTACAATCTATATATATTAAAGATAAATCAACTATGTGAGATTTTTTTAAAAAACAAACAAGCCATTTATAAATTGTTGCATCTATACCTCTTTTTCATTGCTAAGGTGGTTGTGCAAGTTTCTCTTCGATGTCCTATTATTCCAGCACCCTTTAATTGTTAACTCTATCGTCAAGATATTTCTCCTCTAAGTTTTACCGTAAGTTTGTTGGAGTTAGATATACTCCTCAAATTTGGTTATTAACAAGACGCTCATGTGGTAGGTCCCATATTTATATATCTTTTAAAATACACCTGAAATTTAGGAAGACAAAAAATATCTTTTTAAACTAAGTTTTTTACGCAGAATCAGAACAAAGATTTTACCTTCCTTAAACAGTCGGAGTGGTGGGCAACAGTCATCGATCTGGCGACGATGGGACGCTTAGATCTTGGCCAGTACAGATAGTGCAGCGATGGGGAGGATTGGATATGTGTCAGAAGGAAAGATGCGGCAGAACGACCGAATCTAGGTTAGGATGGTATGGTACGACGGCAGGAGGATTGGATGGCGCGACGACGGGTTGAGCAATGTAACGACGAGTTGGGCAACACGGCGGCGGGTTGGGCGACGTGGCGGTGGAGTGGGAAGTAGAGAGGGCGGTGGAGATGGATAGGGGTGGTAGCGTGAATGGCTTGTGAAAGAAAAAGATGATTAGGAACGGCAGTGTGAAGGACGCGTGAAAGAAAAGGATGATTAGGGCCAAACCCTAATTTGTTAAAAATCCAATAAAAGTAAGTTGATTCCTAATTATATTTACTTTTTATTTGGAAATTTCTATTTTAGATGGGTAAATTTCAAAATCTACCTCAACACAAAAAAAATTCATTTTGCCACAATATTTGGTCATTTTTTAAAACGTGTTATTAAATTTGGCCATTTTACCCAAGATTAAGTATGAATCTTCATCTTTTAAATTGGACCGGTTCGTGAGCCAACCTATTTAAATAGTATTTGGATCAACTCGTTGGGCCATTCAAAGGCCCAATCCAATAATTATTAATATCAATATTGTATAATATATAATTATATTATTTATTTATTATTATTAAAAAACCTATTTAATAGACTAACATGCAAACAACCTTGACATTTTCAGTTCATTTAATTTGCTAACATATTAAGGGCATAGGTAAGGAAATTATCTTCCTTCCCATAATCTTTGTAACTGTGATGATGTTTTCCTTTTTGAAATTTGTTTTTTTTAGAAATACAAAATTTCTTCAATTTTAAATGTTTATTCTATTGTCATTGAAAAGTTTTTAAATTATTTTAAATATATTTATTATTAAACACATCTATTATTTTAAATAAAATTTATTGAAATCTTTTAAAAAATCACACATATACCTGGTTTGAAAAATATTAATATTTTTAATAATTTAAAATAATTATTATATGGGTCAATTCAAGTTTGATATAATATTTGACCCATCGCGTTAGGCTCATGAATTGAACTATAAATCTAGATTTGAGTTGTCAACCCGACCTAAACAGTAGATGAGGTCTATAGAATTTTGATCGTTATTGGTCAGATTCTGATAAAGCTTAGGAATTGATTTCTATAAGTGTGATATTTTTAGTCGAGAATATACACGTCTAAGATTGGATTTTAGGGTTTGTATAGAGTGAAACGTATAATTGAACCTTCTATATACGCAGCTATTGTGGAGGAAATGGTTTGACTTTGATACCGTAGAAAAGCGAGTAGAAAACCGTCGGATCGAAATCGGATGGCGATGGCGTGATGTTGTTGCGATTGGTGGAATTGAAATCAGCGTCGGAAGAACGCGAAACAGGGAAGAAATCCAAGTCCATGAGATAATGAAAGGAAAGAAGTAAAAGAAAAATCTCGCAATAATCAACTCAGCAGTTGAATGTTGGATTCCGCCAGTCCCGCCATTCGACGCCTCTTCTTCGATTCAATCCCTCTTCCGTTTGCCCTTCCCACATGAACACGACCCCATAAAACAATTCGCAAAAACGATCCATAATTGGATCATTATTCAATTATTATCCATAGAATTAGCAGAGAGAGGTGGAGAAACAGTGGGTGTGAATTGAAATGGGGATTTTTCTTTTCCTGTTTTTACTTAATTGATTAAATGGAAGTGGTGTATTTACAAGGGCGTGTGTGTGTGATTTAAGAGTGCGAAGCGAAGCCGGCTCTTCTTCTTAACTCTGGTTTTCATTTTCACTGTACAGAGCCAACCAAGTTAATCCTTCCCACACGAAATCTCTCTTGGTTCTTCGCCAACGACCCTCTCTTCCTCATCCTTTATTGGTATCGCTCTACTACTTGGATTCTTCTTGTTCTACTCTTTTTCTCTCTCTATCCTTCTTTGTTTTCCACCTACCCGATCGCGGGGACTGGAAATTTTGAGGAACGGGGAGATTTCTACTGCCCCTTGATGTGATTTTTGTTTTTGTTCTCGAGATAATTGGATTGGGTTTTGAACCTTTGATCGAGTCTGGCGGCGTCTGAGATCAATTCTGTCGTTTATTTTTGTGTATTTTTGAGGAGGGGAAGGATTTTGAGGATTGGGTTTTTGATTTGAGGACATGGGTTGTTTTCCTTGTTTCGATTCGAGGGAGGAGGAGAAGCTGAATCCTGAAAAGGAAAGCGACGATGGCAAGCAAGACCATCCAATGGTTCCACCCAACATTTCCAAGTTTCCTTCCGGTTAGTTTCTCTCTTCTTTTCGGTTCTTGATCTGACTAGTCTCATCTGGAAAATCTTCTGAGTGTTCCTGATCTAGTTAAAACGCTTCATATTTATTGTTCTTTTTCTTTTTCTTTACTTCTTTTAGCCCAAGAAAGGCTTCTCTCGCGTTGATTTAATGGAGAGAAAGATGTGGAGCTACTATTAGTGGACCCCAGCAGGGGTTTCTTAAATTTGATAAACGGGTGTTCTTTTCCTTTGAGGAATCATGGTGAATTCTGTAGTGTGATATATCTGATTGATAAGTTAGAAATAGGGATCAGAGTCGCAATCAATTATTTGTTGGGTGAACAAATCTGGCAATTGTGTTCTTTCAAATTCTTGTACTCAGAATCAGTTATGTTTGTATGATAGCTAATAGGGTTTTGCAGTATTAGGTTTCTTTCCACTTTGCTATGGCAGCTTCATGATCTTTTCTGTAAATAGAGTTTTAATACTTCAAACCTTTTTCCCCCTATTTTTATGGAGGACAGATCCCAAGCTCTGAAATGTACTAGGGAGGCTGCATGCTTCAAATGGATCTTTTACTTCTTTATTCTGATGGTATGTTTGCTTGCAGGAATAGAGAAACTTAGATCAAAGAGTAATGGAGGTTCCAAAAGGGAACAGCAGAGTCCCAAGGATACTCCTCTTGTCAATATTTCTGCTCAAACATTCACTTTCCGTGAGCTTGCGATTGCGACAAAGAATTTTAAACCCGAGTGCTTTATTGGGGAAGGAGGATTTGGACGTGTATACAAAGGGCGGCTTGAAAGCACAGGCCAGGTTATGTGTCTATATTTTAAGGCATCATATCGATATTGTTACAGAAATCGGGGATTAAAATTTCAATTTTGTATTAGATTTCGATGTCTTTGCTTTTATCCTCTAGTAAATTAGGATTTCCTTGTGCAGGGAAAATAGTTTGGTATTGATATTTTTTTTTTTTTTTACTTGAAGGGAAAGGGGACATGAAATTGAATTAGTCTTGATTTGCACGATACAGTATCAACCTAGGAAATGTAAGAAGAGTGAAATTAATATCAATTTGAACTTCGAAGAAATCATGAGTTAACTGGAAATTGTATGCATATTAAATCAAGATATTATGTCATGGCAGCTTGAATGATAGCTAATAGGGTTCTGTCATGCCTGAATATCGAGATATTATCCCCTCAACTACTTAGAATTTCATTGTTAAAAACAAGATATACTTGTTTCTTATAGTAAATTAGAATTTCCTTGTGCTGGAAAAATAGTTTGGAGTTGATCTTTTACTTGAAGTGAAAAGGGGTAATCAGATTGTTGGAATCAATTAAGTCTTCCTGACTTGTATAATACATATCCATAAAGAAATGCTATCTTGTATCTACATGATTTGTTAAAGAAATATATCTTGTCATATATGCATTAGATGCATATGCATGCATATATGCATCATAGGACTTAATACTGCCCTCATGTTCTTTAAAATCACATTTTATTAAACTGGCACCAAAGATCGTGATAGGGTTCTACTTACCATCTTTTGAAATAATTAGTAGAAGTTACCTGCCATATTACAGGTTCTTTAGAGTTGAGATATGTTTTATATTTGTATATTTTGAAGGATACTTTGATAATGATACTGGAACAACCCCCCCTCTCCCGCCCTCTCTATGCGTAAACAAGCTCGATATGCAAATTCTTCCAACTGAAGAAAAGACTTGTCATGCTCCTGAATCTTAATTGAATTTATTTTTCAGAAATTTGAGGAACAATAGATTTATAGATGTATAGGTTTGAGAACGGTACAATTCCTTCATAATATAAATCTAGAGATTATCAACCAAATTGTATATTGATCTTGGTCTTCCAGTAAGATACTGGCAGCTGTAGTTGCACTTACATTTAACTTAGAGCTTTGTGAATTGGGAGGGGAAAAATTATTACTTTTGAGCAATCTTCCCCCTTCAATGGTAGTTTCTGATTTATATCTTTACTGCAGATTGTGGCCGTTAAACAGTTGGATAGGAATGGTCTTCAAGGTAACAGAGAATTTCTAGTGGAGGTTCTCATGCTTAGCCTTCTACATCATTCAAATTTGGTGAATCTGATTGGTTACTGTGCTGATGGGGATCAACGTCTACTTGTGTATGAGTTCATGCCTTTGGGATCGTTGGAAGATCATCTTCATGGTAACATTTTCTCCTGACTTGAAAACTTATCATCTAGATGGACTACGTGAGAATAAGAATTCAATATATGAATAATATTTTTAGGAAATTATTCATACACCACACCCTACGATTTAGCAAGGACTCGAATTCTTTAATGTTTTTTCTCTATTATTGTGAAATTTTACTTTTTAGCAATAGAGAAGTGAATTTAGGTCTGATATTGATTGTGAGCCACTGTAAACTCTCACCTTTGAACTTTTATCATGCTTCCCTACCTTTCCATTTTTCTTGTTAGTTCAAGATCGATTTAGTCTGGAATATATTTTTGGGAAGGGGGCGTGAGCCTTACATTGGATAAGATCTAGCGATTGGCTTGAGGTAGTCTTGCACAATCCTACTTGTGAGCACTATATGATCTTTGAAGCATAGGTGCCATGAATTTTTTTGAATTCTTAGTGTGTGGGATTTCTGGTTCGGTCATTCTTGATCTAGCATTTGAGATTAGCTTTTAAGTTCTAGTGTTGTGAACCTATTTCAAATGGTAGCCAGATCACTAATTGTCCTGAAATGTTGTGTCAAGACCATTCCATCCGATGAAAGAGCATGCTAGATAGGCCAAGGGACTATTTCTTGAAATGGGGTCGAATTACGGTTTCATGCTATGAGCTAAAAACAGTTTTTCTGATCTAGATTACTTTTTTTATGATTTATTATGTGGAAATTATAAGATACTGTTCGAAGCTAAATCAAACCTTTTCTTTATAGTTTTTGGAAGTAATTGTTATCCAAACAATACATAAGCTTTCACTTAATCAATGACTGCACATATAAAAACACGACTTCTTGTTATCGATTGTAGTTTTGGCTCGATGTCTTTGGAAAATATTCTACTTATTCTTGTAAACCATTGAGTTTCATGGAAAGGAACAGAAGTCAATGTCTCAGATATTTCATTTTGTGTGTGGTTATGTGATTCAAGAGAAGCTTCTCTTTGTTTCCAATGTTACTCATTCTTAGGATTTTGTGAGTGTCTATAAAATGTAGTAAATCTGTCATCTCAATCATCCCATTTGATTATATTTTGGAGTCATTTATAGAAATGTGCATAATAATGGTGTATTAACTTGTTACTTGATTGAATCATGTAAACCCCATTATTTAATAAAAACAGGAATGAGGAAGACCCAGAACAATAATCAATCAGAAATAAAAATTATAGAATGCGAATAAAATTTATAATATTGTCTTCATTAAAATTATTTTAGAATTAGAATCTAAATGTAGAGGAATACCATGAACATTTTTCTACAGATTTTTAGAATGCGAATTGAAGTTAGATTTGGTGTAAGACCTACAAAAGAGTAGATAGAAACTAAGAAAAGGTAAAAATAAAGAAAAAGTAGTAGTACCCACTAAGTTGAGAGAATTGGAATGACATTCCTTATCCTCCCAAAAAGAATGAATCCATGGAAACGATTCCTAATATTTTTATTTTTAGCTTAGGGCTTACAAATTGGGAATCATGCTTTATTCTTGTTAAATTTTTCCCTTCTTTACAGCTCTCTTTCTAAAGATCTCTGTAAGTCTTTATTTTATTACTGCCAACTGGAGTGGGGTTCTGCATTCTCTTTGCTTGTTGCAATTTTTTCTATGAAGAATATCATATAACTTCTCAAGAAAACTTTACGTATTTATATCCTTTTATCATATTTTCTTGATTATAATCTTTTCTTTAAAATCAGAAATTCCACTTGATAAGGAACCCCTAGATTGGAACACAAGAATGAAAATAGCTGCTGGTGCAGCCAGAGGTTTAGAGTACTTGCATGACAAGGCAAATCCTCCAGTTATTTACAGAGACTTCAAATCCTCCAATATATTACTTGATGAAGGATATCATCCAAAACTTTCTGATTTTGGCCTTGCAAAGCTTGGCCCTGTTGGAGATAAATCTCATGTTTCCACCAGGGTCATGGGAACTTATGGTTACTGTGCTCCTGAGTATGCCATGACCGGACAATTAACAGTCAAGTCTGATGTTTATAGCTTCGGTGTCGTTTTCTTAGAGTTGATTACTGGACGGAGAGCCATTGATAGCACCCGACCCCAAGGCGAACAGAACCTTGTTACTTGGGTAAGCCATACAATATTTATATGCTGTAGCACGGACAGACAGGCAATGTTCTGATAAAAGGGTAGTTTAGTTACAGTTTTGTATTGTTTTATACAATGCAGGCACGCCCATTTTTCAACGACCGCAGAAGATTCTCGAAATTGGCTGATCCCCAGTTGCAGGGGAGGTATCCGATGCGAGGTCTCTACCAAGCTCTAGCTGTGGCATCCATGTGTACGCAAGAACAGGCTGCAGCCCGTCCGCTGATCGGAGATGTGGTCACTGCCCTCTCTTATTTGGCAAACCAATCCTATGATCCAAGTTCTCCTTCAGGTCCTTCTGCTCAGCGAGGTTCTGGTGATCGGGATGAAAGACGGAACAGAGATGAGAAAGGTGGAGGGGAAGAAGGGGGAGCATCCGGGCGAAGGTGGGCACTGGATGGTCCTGATAAGGACGATTCTCCGAGGGAGACCGTTAGGATTTTGAATAGGGATTTAGACAGAGAACGTGCAGTTGCTGAGGCCAAGATGTGGGGAGAGAATTGGCGAGAAAAAAGACGACAGAGTGCACAAGGCAGTTTTGATGGCTCAAACGGGTAAGTAATGCAATGCAATTAAAAGAAACAATACAAAACGGAACGAACACCTCTGTTACCTCGTCTCCGTCCTCCCTTCATTCCAGAACGAAGAAACTCCAATGTATGGGCGTATTTAAGGTTCTAAATCGTTGCTGGTATGCTGCTACTTAGTGTCATTGCGAGCAGCAAAGCAATTTGATGTAGGGGTTGGGTTGATCCTATAGAGACTTGGTCAGTACTTTTTCTCAAAACTTTTTGCTCACTTGAAATTTTCCTCCTTTACAAATTCCATACCCAACACATGAGGAGGAAGAAGAAGAAAAAGTAAGCATGGTGGAGGAGAATGTAGAGAGAGAGAGAGAGAGAGAGAGAGAGAGAGACTCACAAAGAAGGAAAAGAAAAAAAGGAATTGAAAAAGTCAAGGCTTGGCTTCTTTGATTTGCTTTTGTTGTGTATGAATGAACTCAGCACCACAACCAAAGAGATACAAAACTGTTTCAATCAGTCAACTTTGCTATTCTCTTCCTATTATAAACCACAATGAAGCCTTTCTTTCATTACTTCCATTTATAGAAATGTTTAATCAGTCTCGTCCCAAACGAGGTGAGGAATCCCCATTAAAATAGGGTCGAGAAACTTCTCCTATTTCTTCTTTGAGATGGGTACAGGAAATACGCCTTTCCTTATCTCCGTCTCTGTTTTAGTTCTCGACCCTAAATAAGTATATATTATATGAGAATGTATAATATATACTTATTTAGTTGAAAAGGTAACAATTGTGTCCCATTAGTCCACAAGCTTCAAAATTTTGTAACTACACCGGTTTGACATGTTAATTATTAGATAAATGTTAGTTATTTCTAGTACCGTTGATATTTCAATTATCTATCATCTTTTACTTGCAACGACTTCGTAAGAATTACAATTCAACAATATATAGAGATAAGTTTCTTTTAAAGTTCAAGGACATGAGAGAAACGAAGTGAAGTTCCGAATCTGAATGAGAAATGGATGTGATTATAGTAATATAGGTAAAAGTTGTTGGAGAGGAGAGAGAAAGGGCCATTTTGGTAGGGGAGGAGGAGAGAGAGAGGAAAATATAAAGAAAAAGTGGAATTATTAAACAGCACATTGATTGGTTTGGTTTTGTGCATCATTTTTGTTTGCATCAGTAACAGGATGGACCTCAGCAGCTCCACAACTTGTGTTTTTTAGCTGTTCTGGTAGCTTCTCTTTCTCCTCTTTCCTCTTTCTGTAAATTCCATATAACACCATTTGAAGTAACCCCAATATGAACCCCATTACATTTGGAATCTGTCTCAAGCCAAAAAAGAAAAAAAAACAACTTAAATCATATGAGAATTTAGTTAATCTCTATGCATGATTTGGGTTTTAACGAGTTTCAATTTAGTTTCTATGGTTTCATTTATGGTTAACTTTTATATGTCAGTTTCAATTTACCCTACTCACTTTCTTATAATATATATATATATATGTTTGGAGATTACTTACAGCAATGCATATATCTTTTAGGAGAAGGCCATAAGCAAACCACATTATGGCACTCAATGTAAGGAAGAACGACAATGGAAATGGCATAAACTCAACACTCTTTGTTCGAACAACTTGTCTCTGCAAAAAGGAAAAACCAACTACATTAGTGATATCCACGTACCTATTTTTTGAACATGAGATAAACAAATTCATAATACGACCAAAAGTTACTAAATTAATCGTATGTGCCTAAGAAGTAATTAAGTGCAAACAATTTCCGCGTGACAAGAGACCCAAAAGGGAAAGTTTTCCAAAAGTGTAGAAACTTTTAATACCAACGTCGTTTATATTCAACTATATCATTATTTGATCCATAAAGGCATCTAATTATATGAATTTTTTCCATAATATTGGAAAGATGAGAATAAATGCTGACCAGAATGCTCAAAGGAGCTGCAAAAACAGAGACAGAAACAGCCACACAGATCCACCCCACAACTTTAACACGATCCGAAGATTTGGAAATGAAGTGAATTGAAACAAGGATCAGTCCCAACAGCCCCATGTTCATCACACCAAAGATTCTCATCGTCAACCTCTGCAAAACCCAAAAACAAAAACAAAAAACCGTCCGTCACCGTGTCGATATTTTCATATGTTCATAGATCTGATATCAACAGAGCTAGGAGTTTATCGATATTTCCATTATACTAAAATATAAAAAATGACAACAAATATAATTTATTAAATACGAACATAATGTTAATACGGTAAGAATTTTGATTTATTTAAGAAGTGTGAAATTTATATATATATATATATATATATATATTATCTAGGAGTCGGCGGCTCTTTGACATGTATGTCTCTATACTTTGGGTATGCTTGTCTCCGTACCCATATATAAGCAAAGGATTAATTTGGTTGGAGTTGTGTTCCATGCCGCCTGAACCTAAGACCTAAAGATATTCTTTGAGGTCTAAATTTTTTTTATTTATTTTCCATAAATATTGTTGGTATAGATGTTCTATTGATTTTTTTTTTATTTGGATTTCCAAAAAATTAAGACTTTGACATTTTCGTCATATTTGAGACCTGACAGTGAAAACGAATTATGAGAGACTCACCCTGGCTGGGTCCGTGGCGAAGGTGACAAAGACGATGAAATAGAGAAACTCGATGACGCAGCCAAAGGTGTTGATGGTGATGAGAAGGAAGACGTTAGTTTTGAGGAAGGCGTAGTAGAGCCAAAGGGTGGAGCTGAAGAGCGCCACCAGATATGGCAGTGCGTGGAAGCCCTCGGTCGACCTCTTTCGCCATATTCGGTAGAACGTCGGCCTAAGAAATAATTCAAACAAGCTTAACGCTTCAAGTTCAATTTTTGATGCGCCCACCCTATCCCCCTTCTAACTTTTTAAGCGACAATTTAGAGGGAAAATTAAAAAATACTAACTTTTGAATATAATTTTGTTTTAATTGAAGGCAAATTAAGAGGAAAAGAGAAACTCACAGAGGAGCCAAGTAGACGAAGAAGGAAATGACGTTGCCTGCAAGGGAAAATTTTTGAGTTAGTTGAGAAGCCATTAATGCATGGGAAAAATTTAGAAATTGCAAAAATCATTCAATTTCTTTTCTCATTTTTAGAATTATTTCACAACAAACACAATAGAGAGTGGGGTGAAATTTTGAAAGCCTCATTTTTATTAAAAGAATATATACATATATATATATATATATATATATATATTTTAATCATACATGAGTGTGGAAATGATAGTCACATTAATACTTTTTTTAATATATGGTTTGTTTTAAAAGGTATTTTCATAAAACTAAGCTATCTTTCTCGGCCAACCTCTCAAATACAATTGTTTTAATTTTAAACTGGATAAATTCTACACTCGAAACACAGGCTACCCGCACTCAAGCTATGTAATTCTCCGTATCAAGTTAAAAGCTCAAGAAAAACAACTTTTAACTCATTGCTGAAAAAGGGTCTTAAAAGGTGATTTCCTTGACTGGGGTGGTGTAGCTTATATATTTTTCTGATATCAATGTGTGGAATATTATTAGATGAAGAATTTTTAAAAGAAAGAAAGAAAAATGGTGTTACCAAGAATGCCAAATGTGAGTACTAAGAGATGGGGACTCTGAAAAATGGCCATTTTCTTCTTCTTCTTCTTGTTCCTGTTGTTGATCTGAATTAGAGGAATATGGCTGTGGGCTTTAAGAAACCCTAGCCTCTCTCTCTCCTCTGTAGCCCTCTCTCTCTAAAGGGATAATGGGGAAGAAGGCATTTGGAGAGATGTGATTTATATAGAGAAACCCAAGTGATATTCTAGAGAGAGAAACAAGAGAGAGAAAGGATTGGTAGGTAAGTTACCACAAAATCATGCATCCAATCCATTTGCTTTGCTTACTCTCACATACCTCTTCCCTTTCACACAAAATTAAGTTCGATCAAAGTACAAAATCGATCATTGAATAATTTTATTAGCCGATATAATCGTAGCTCAACACTAAAGATAAATAATTCATTCTCTTGAGATCTGAGGTTTAATTTAAATTCATTCCATATTTATTGTACTAAAAAAACTTTTTTCGATCCCACGAATAAAAGATAAGGTGTTTAAATACTATATTTTTGTTCTTTAGTTCATTTTGGATTATGTACTTTCAAAATATATACTTTAGTTGCGTAGCTTTAATTCTTAATTTATTTTAACTCATACACTTCATTTGTAGCTACATTTTAAAGAGATTTTATTGAAGGCTAGTGTGGCTAAAATGTGATCCAAAAGAATGAAATAAACATTAAAAAAAAAAAAATTAAGGGATAGCTTTAATTTAATATTTTATTTAGTTTATTGCTCTAAGGACATTTATTTTAAATATTTTATTGCTAATAACCTCTTTCTTTTAGTAAAAATTGAGTTTGTCCGTCCATTGATTATAAGTTGTATTGGTATTAAATTTATTTTTGGCACTTTGAAGCAGACGAACGTGTTTTTCCATTTAGTTTATATATTATAATCAGTTAATACGTACTTGGATATAACTGGTTAAGACTATCTATATTTCAACTAAAAAAATGTGATTAACTAACTAATTGGTTAGGGCTATCTATTTTCAACTAAAGGATGTGAGTTCGAATCTTCATCCTAAGTGATTAAGGCACTGTTCCCATACCCGTACATGTGCAAGAGTTCATTATTTGGTTGGAATTGCATTTCATATGGCTTCAACGTAATTTTATTTAGTTATGGAAGCAATTATCAATGAAATTTTGCCATAATTAATAAATATAAATAAACAATCGCTATTATCGTTTATGTATGTTTTGCACACAATTTTTGTTAGAAGTGTTGTCTTTTAAAAGTATTTTATAACATTCTCACTTCTGGTATTTTGTTTCCTATTTTGGAAGAAAGAAAAAAATTAGAATTGTTCTTAGTAATTGTTATTCCCTTGAAAATATATGAATGTTTTCAATAACTATTTCTTGTTTATTGTTTTCTCAAATATTAAATTAAAAAATAAAAATTTTACATGAAAATTAACTTTTAAAATACAATATTAAAAATTTGTTTAATTGCATTTAATGTTTTAATATTTTTATGCATTTTATAAATTAAAAAATAAAAAATAAAAAATCTTTAGCAAAGTTTCTTTTTTTATGCATGTGATGACTATTTCTGTTTTTTATTTTTCATTTTTGTTTAAATTGTATACAAAAATGAATATAAAACTTCTTTTAATTTAATATTTGAGAGAATAAGAAATTAGAAATGGTTCACACATTTATTTCTTTTTTCATTTAGAAACGGAAAAAAAAAATAGCTACCAATGCAATATATAATTTAATTTAAAAAATACTAGATATTTTTATCAGTAAAATGTTTGATAATTAATGAATATATATTGGATTTGTAAAAAAGAAATCAACCATTAATTTTCGTGTGACTTTTCTTGATGATGTAAAGGCATTTTTGTACTTCCACATGTTGGAAATATGGCAAACTTCTGTACATATTTTACTATATTATTTTTCAAATGAAGAAAACGATGCTTATCTGAAAATCAAAATTAATTGACTGATTATTTATAACAAAAAGGAATCTAAATATTTAATGAAATCTTCTTGAAAGTTACAAAAATAGTAGCTTATATGGACCACTTTTAAGATTTATTTTAAAGGTTGCGGTAAATTTAACATAATTAAGATAAATATTACAAGATTAACTGTTAAGAAAATAATGATAAATATTAAAAGAAAAAAAGCTTCATTAACCATAGAAATATCACAATCTATCCTATCTCTTAAACATAGTTTACCAAACCAAGAAATTGCTATAAAATAAAATATAAACAAAGTAATTAGTTAATGATTATTAAAAGAACACTGATCTTTTAGCTTCTAATTTTTTGTTCAAATTTTAAAACATTTTAAAAATACAAACAATGGATTAATGTAGTCACTAAGCATTATGGATTAATCATAAATATTAGTTAATTAAAAATTGAAATAAACGCATGCTCATTTACCATATTAATTTATAAAAGAAAAATAATATCGTTTCTTATATTTTAGAGCCAAGTAATGATAAACCTAAATTAAATCAAATTTAGTTAAATTAAGAATATAGCTTAATTAATCAAAGACAAGTCGTTCGACTAAAATAAAATTTTAAAATTAATGTCTTTGGTTTCATAAATATAAAATCGAAATTTGAAATTTAGTAGGCAATAAATATAAGGTTAGATTACATCTTTCATCCGTACCCTTTGAAAATTTGTTTCATCTTAATACTTTACATTATTAATCCCAATAAAGACTGTCATCAATGAATTAAAACGTTGATCACATCATTGCCATTAGCCTTTAGGCCATTGAAATTAAAATAAAATTCGCTTAAATTCTAGTACAGTACATCAACATTTATACTTATTTTATTTTATTATTTTTTTAGTATAACAAATGGATCTATTATAATATATCGTCCATGAATGTGAGATGATTCGAACTCATGACTTTTTGATTAGAGACAAGTATCAATTAAACCAAATAATTTTAGATCTCTTACACTCTCAAATCTTTCATTTTAATTCTTCAAAAATTATTTATTAACTCTCAATTAATTATTTAACAAGAATTTTGATTCATTGCAAAATGGAGCGATGCTTATTAGATATCTAATATGTGAATTAAATTTATCCAACCCATTAGTTTAAGCTTTTGGGTTGGGTGGTGGTTTATTATTTTTCATTTTTTTTTAAAGCAAGCTGCTAGTTGTCATATATCGCCATTACCAATGATCTCTTTTACTTTTCTAATAAATAAAGTTAATAAAGGGCGAATGAATTTAAAATTTCAAAATCTTCAGGAGGTAAATGTTCATAATGTCGGCTCTTTCCTCATTTGTTGATCATTGGAGGAGCTAGATAAATTATCAAAAGAATGGGAAATTTTTTATATTCTTTAACTTTGTACATAATTAATGTGCTCTTACCATTTATAAAATTTTGATATTGAGAAATTTTTAAAATCATAACTTTTGATCAATATAATTCTTTTAATGTGTTAAATTATAATTTGCTTTTGTTTATAAACTTTAGAGTTGTGTCTTAATACAGTCTCTATATTTAAAAAAAAAAATCTCTAGTAAAAGATTCTAAACAAATCATTCAACTTTCAATTTTTTTTTTTTTTTTTGAAATGATAGCATAAATCTTTAATCTTCATTAGTTTCAGTTTAGCCACATAATCCTTAAATAATATAATCCTTCTATCATGATTAAAGTAGTGGAGGTAACATTAAGACCTTTTTTTTACCATTAACAATTGAGGATTTAACAAAAACTTTTTAAGTTATAGGAATCAAAGTAGTAAGACAAAACATTAATACCTAACAACGTTTGTAATTAAGATGCATGAACCATTACTCTCATTATCAATTGATTTTGAGATAAAACTCATAAATATTGATATGGTATCAGAGTCCAACAAAACTCAAATGAGCGTCCATCCAGTCCAAAAATGAAATCCGACTAAAGATTGTCAAATGATTTTGAAAATGAACTCCATGAATATTGACTAAATACGTCTCGTTCCTCGTTCTCTCAGCGGTTTTGTGTGAACCAAGCAAAGAGAAAGGTTGCAGACATATATCTCCCGATTCTGTTTCTGAATTTGTTTGGGAGTGTTTTTGTTTCACACAGCATTCAATTGAAGAAAACAAATAAAATGAAAAGAAGAGGGTTTCGTGTGGTGCATGAGTGTACAAACTTTTGCTTTGCTTTTTGCCGTTACAACAAAAGAAAAGTAATCGACAAAAAGGATGATCATAACATTCTCTGTCTCTCTCTTTCTACAATAAAAGGAAAGTGTATGGTGGGTGTAATTTGGACATCATCTTCCATTTCCATTTTATGTAAATGGATTTGAGAGCTATTCATTAGGTCCTATTCTATCACTTTTTACACTTTTGTCATCATTTTTCCCCCATCATATTATATGATTTTGAGGGTTTCCTTTATTCTTCAATATATAGCTTTTTGAGTACGACATATAAGATTAGGATTTAAACTCATGTCCTCCAACCGGAGATAGGTGTTGGGAGAATTATAAATAACAAAGGTAATTGGAGTATATATTGAGAAGCAAACACGTAATCAATTTAGCTTTTTTTAAGGATATTTAAGCCCTCTACGGCGTATATTATTTCTTTATCAACCACCGGTGCAGTAGATATTCTCTAGCGCGTCCTTCTTGGATACAACAATCCAATTAAAACATTGTGTAGCTCAAACTACTTTTGTAACCGGAGGTTGAGCAGTACAGAGCTCCATAACAAAGATCAACACCCCTCTTTTGGCCAATTACTTTTGAAAGAGCAAAATATAGAAAATAGATAAAGCGGAGAGAAGAAAGTATGAGTGGTAGGTTGTGTACTCAGAATTGTGGAAACGAGAACTATTTATAGAAATTTAAAGTAGTAACTTAATTAAGTAAAGAAATCATTAACCTCTCTTCAAATACATTTGCAAATCCAATTTGATAAAATTCTCGAAGTTTAAACTCTTCAATTAAATAAAAAAGGAAACTCATATTTAATTAAATATTAAAACGTAACAACAATTGGTGTCTTGGTTGACATTTTTGTTTTCCAAATTTACAAATAATAATAATAATAATAATAATAAAAATGGATTCCTTTTTTCCTGAAAAAACGTAGTTGGTGGTGGGTTATCTTTATGAGATGGAA